CTCGGCCGTCTGCAGGTAAGCGAGCCGCCCGGCCGCTCCCGCTCCCCGCGCACCCGGTTCCCGCGCGCGACGCCTCCTCGGGAGCCCGGGGAGGAACCCGGACGCGCGGGCTGCGAGACGTCCTGGGACCTGGACGGAGAAGCGGGAGACGGCGGAAAGGCGAGGCGCTTCCGCGGGTGGGACGGCGGAGGGAGGGGAAGGGCGAGTGCAGAGATCTTGGGGCGCAGAACGCGGACTTGCGGGACCCCGCCACCCGCGCACGGGCTCCCAGAAGTCCACGTAGGGGCAGCCTTTGAGGTCAGTGATTGCCCAGACATTTCCGGAGCGCCAAGTTGGCGCGCAGGGTAGCTTCTGTGCAGACGCGGCCCCTGTCCCCCTGCGAACGGAGTGGGCGAGGGGAGAACTCAGAGCCGCACGCATGCCCACGCCGGGTACCCGCTCCTGAATGCGAGTTCTCCTCCCAGGCCACTTTGAGTCCCTCGGGACGCTAGGCCATCCCCTCTGCCTGGCTTCGCACCCTCTCCCCACCTCGGTTTCCTTGGTCATCCGAAGATCAGTGCTCTTCGCCTCACGGGGACGTCCAGAGCGCGCAGTGAAAGCGAATTTGGCAGTTTCTGCAGAAAAGCCGACATAAGATTTCCTTTTTATGCTCCCTTATTTATTACGTCTCGTGCTCCCCTCCGACCCTCCCCGCTGACAGCTTAAGGGCCACCAGGTCGGGTTCTGGCTCCGAATGACCGGAGAATCACTTGTCCTCCGAAGCGCTTTGATGATGTTAGGACAGAATACTGTTTGCATTTGGAGGAACCGAGGCACACGGGGTGCCGCAAGCCTGCCGGGGAGCCCCAGGCTGAGGCCTGTTGCGCAGGAGTTGGGATGGCGGTGGCCATCCTCTCTGGTGCCGGCCCTCCTGGGGCTCCCCAGCCCGGGATGCACCTGGGGCTCCCCACGGGGGCCTTGGGCCCTTGCCCTGGGAGGGCCTCCCGGCTTCAGCGTGAAGAGTGCGCGGTGCGGGGTCCTCGCCGCCTGGTTTGGCCAGAGATTTCTTCCCCACCCCACCCAGGACGGTTGCGGATAAAGCTGGTTACTGATTTTCTGCCCTCCTGGTGGAGAGCTATCTGGTGCGGCAAACCCAGCACCACAAATGCTGTAAAAACCTTGCGTAGTTGGAAGTGCCTCGGAGGGAAGGGTAAATGGCAGTGGTTTTCTTGGTTTGGGCAGTTTCAGATTTCCCTTCTCTGTTACAGTTGGCCGAGGCTGTTCTGTTAACATGGGTCTGCAGAAAGGCCCAGAACCCTGCGGAGACAGGCCAGCCGCTTGTAGAGCCGTGTTCGGGGCCAGAGAAGGTGGGGCGGGGGAGCCAGCCTAGGGGGAAAGCCTTGACAAAAATAACAGGAGTGTGCTGTAGGCTGGAGCAGACGACGCTCATGAAGGTTCATTCCACTTCGTTCCGGCGGGTATGGGTCTCAGGATAGTTGAGGGAAAAGAAGGCGGAAAAACCTAATGGAATTTTTTCATTTTAAGCACGTCAGGCGTTGCTTAATGAAGTGCTCAACAGGTTGGACAGGGTGCTACCTTACTTGAACCAAAGGACCAGGGCTCCAGTGAACAGTTAGCCACCTGAGAAAAACCTGTGCAGTTTCAAAAAAGCATCTCACGGGGCGCCTGGGTGGCTCAGTTGGTTAAGCATCTGATATTGGCCTAGATCATGATCTCCCGGTTCCTGAGTTCGAGCCCTGAGTCTGGGCCACTGTGCTGACAGCTCAGAGCCTGGAGCCTGTTTCTGATTCTGTGTGTGTCTCTCTCTCTGCCCCTCCCCTGCTCACACTCTGTCTCTGTCTCTCTCTCTCTCTCTCTCCCCTAAAACTAAATAAACACTTAAAAATTAAAAAAGCATCTCACACTACTATTGCAAAATCTGTATACGTACGTATATTCGTAAAACGCAGTAGGTTCCAATACGAACAACAAATGCTGTCAAAACAAAATTATTTTTCAGAGATAGCTTTCGACGGGTGCTATTTCCCCTCCCTTTCCCTTTTGGCCACTTGAATCCTGTGCAGTTTTTAATCACGTCTAAACAGGAAACAAATGACACTGAGACAGTTGTAATCAAATGAGAGAGGTCTGTGCCAGTCTCGCCAGTGGAGATCCATGAACTCTGACAGCCGAAGGTAGCTGCTGTGCTGCTGTGTCCTCCCCAGGCGAGAATGTGGTATGTTCACTTGTGGTGTGTGGTGTTTTGTGTAATGACTGCTTCTTTGGCCAACCTATTCTATTCGTTCAAAGCCAGGAATTGTATTGGCGATCCGTGGAGGTTGGTTATCACATCCTGGGCGAGGCTTGAAGAACTCCTTAGTGAGAGGCAAGGGGTATTGGCTTTGTAAATCGCTGGCAAAACCAGCTTCTAGGGAGCGCTTTTTGTACAAGTATTTATTTTCATTTACATTATGCTACACAGATGTATTTATTTAAAAAAAATTTTTTTTAACGTTTATTTATTTTTGAGACAGAGAGAGACAGAGCATGAGCAGGGGAGGGGCAGAGAGAGAGGGAGACACAGAATCTGAAACAGGCTCCAGGCTCTGAGCTGTCAGCACAGAGCCCGACGCAGGGCCCGAACTCACGGACCGCAAGATCATGACCTGAGCCGAAGTCGGACGCTTAACCGACTGAGCCACCCAGGCGCCCCTGCTACACAGCTTTAAATGTACCTGGAAGGCTGACAGTTTTGCCCTTTAAAACATTTCTGTGATTATCTCTCTGTCTGCCTATATTTGTGAGGGAATTTGTTTTCAGACATAAGAAGAGTATTTGCCCACAGATAAATCCTTTTGTGTGTTTATGTTGATAGTTCCACTGTTTATTCCAAGTAAGGAAATACAGAAACTCCCTGTTTTGGGTGCCTGGGTGGCTCAGTCGGTGTAAGTGTCCAACTTCTGCTCAGGTTCTGATCTCGCTGTTCGTGGGTTCAAGCCCTGCATGGGGCTCTGTGCTGATAGCTCAGAGCCTGGAGCCTGCTTCGGAGGTGGAGGGAAGAACTGAACAAGTAGAACTCGAGCGATCAGGGTGGGCTTTGGAGGAAGGGGATTCTGCCATGGTCATTGCAGCATGGGTAGGAAACGAAGGGTCAGATTCCAAGAGGCAGCTGGGGAAGGAGAACTTTCTAGTGGAGAGAATGGCATGGCTGATTCAGGCCTAAAGGAATCTTAGGGAAAAACAAACAGACAGACAAACAAACAAAACATACCACTTTTTTTTTTTTTTTTAATGACTTTACAGATGGTACAAAGCACTTAATTCAGGAAAGCCAACAGCAGACAGGACGTGAAACATTTATTATAGTTTTTGAGATAACTCTTGTATGGCTCCTGGTGAGGTGGTAAGGTAGACTGATCAGAAGCAGATAAGCCACAGGGCCCTGGGAAAGCCTGTGGGGAGACCCCACGGAGGAAATCCCCTCGAGTGGAGCTCTGTGTTGTAGGATAGACACCTGCCTGGCTGTCTTCCTGGCCCCCTCCCATCCTGGAGGGAGGCCTCGGCTCTATTGCAATACTTTGTTTGGAGAAGCACACCCTTGTGGATCCGTGGTCGTTAGTTCGTTTTGTTGATAGCCAGGGTTTCAAATGTCTCCCCTGCTGTTTCCTTCCCGCTGTTTCCCCCAAAGCGACACATTTGTAATATAAACACATTCTCTGGGTTGATAAGGAAATATGAGCTCGCTTTTTCAGTTATCTACCAGCGATTCTTACACCAGGAAAACTGAAACAATAAAGGTGTATCTTTGAAGGTCAATAAATCAGTGTTTTATGAGGCCATGGAAAGGGGACTTCCAAACCCAGGCCTCCTTTGCGGAGAGGGTTGTGTGTAAGCAGGCGCCGTGTGAACTTTATCTGCCATGTCAGTGTTAAAATTTCCCTCACTGTATTTTCCTATTTTTGAAGTACATGGGAAAAAAAATATCAGTGTTTTTTCCCCACACGACGTGTGCAACGGGCTAAGAATTTTGTCTAGGCCGTTCTTGTGTTGGTTTGTTTTTGGCTTGGTGTGTTTTTTGTTTTTGTTTCGCTGAGATGGGTCTGCACCCTGGTCATCAGCTTTACAGGTGATTCGCCCACAAGGGCACCTACCGTCCCGGCCAGGTGGCCGCCCTGTGTCCCTGCAGCATCCTGAGCCCCACCCACAAGGGGAGCACCCCCGCCTGAGCACACAGCAGCCTGACCTCACCTCGGAGCACCCCGAGCTGGCCTGGGTAGCATTCTGCCCGGCAGGTGATTTTCCTTCCCAGCACTCCTCCTGGTTGGTGGGAAGTCATCCACTTTCTCTTTGTGTTTCCCTCTGCTTGCAGGGAGTGGGCTTCCTATAGGATCTCCTGCTAGACACTCATTTCATCCTTTCTACCCCAAAACCCTGAGCCCAAAGAAACCCAGACTGAGACGGCCGGCTTCAGCAAAACAGAAGACCTGGTCCGTCTGAAGTTCTTAGTGAGCTTTTGAGGTTGAGCCCCGAGTGGGCGGTGAGTCGGATTACACACAGCCCCATGTCTCTGTCCTCATTCTGAGAGACGCTGTCAGCCTGTTTCCTGCCAGAGAGACCGACGTGCCCAAGCGCCCCTGGCAGGCTTCCCCTCCGTCTCCGAAGTCAAGGGGTGGCACCCCCATCCGCAGTTTGAAGCACATTCTTTGTGGATGTGTGCTGATGATTTGATACCTGTATTTGTTTTGTGGGCCCCTCCTCTTCCAGCCTTTGATGTCTGTGGGCTCCCACATTCAGGACAGGGAACTCACTCGTGAGCAAGAGTACTCATTTATTTCAACAAAGTGAGCCCGTGCTTACCGCGTGTGGGACACCCCACAGCAGGCTGAGGGGACAGAGACCCCCCCCCCACCAGCCCCTGTCTTCGGGAGGCGCACTGACGTTTAGGATACCATACAGGAGGAGACCGGTTTCCTGGGAGCATTTTCCACGTGTGGTGGGCGCCCAGGACGAGGAGTGCTTTAACCTGCTTGAAAGAGTCTCTCCTTCCTTTCCTCCCAGTTTGTCCAAAGCCCAGAAGGAGGGACAAGAGGGCGGCGTCTGGGCTGGGGACCCACAGGTGGCTGGGGCCAGGAGGTATGACTGCCGTGTTTTCAGGGAACTCGTAAAAGGATGGCTTTCCTGGATTTCCAAGGGCACGTGGTGGGGGAGGGCAGCACGAGCACTCAGGGGCCTTGAGGCCTGCAAAATAGTTTAGATGCTATCTTGCTGCATTGTGGGCTGGGAGGGTCATGATCAGATGCGTGCCTTATGGGGAAGGGTGTGTGTTGGGTGGGGGGGGGGGCAGTAAGGAGGCCACTGCCCTGGTTTCGGGAAGAGCTAGCAAAGGCTTGAATCAGGTCGGTGTAGTGGCGAGAAAAAGGAGAAGCCAAGGGCAGGAGTGATTTCAGAGCCAGCGGAGTTGTGCTAGGTGCCCACAATACAGGGGCAAAGGATGTGGTCGGACCTATTACTTAAAAAAACCAAAACCAAAACAAAACAAAACCCAAGGTGATAGATGTCAGAATAGAATAGCTGACCACTTGGATGGTGTTTCTCACGGCTTATGAAGGAAACTTCTGTCTCAGGTTCAACTAAAGGATTTTTTTCACCCCCTAAACAAGCAATAAAAGAGGGTGAATTTTAGGCTATTGAATCCCAGCTGCTCTGGATTATTTTATCGTGAGGAGGAGCCAAAGTTCTTCACACCCCATACAGGTAAACAAGCCAAGAGCGCCCAAGGCACCAGGATCCACAGGAAATCTGTGTGCTCCGGAATTTAGAACCATATCCTGTCCTAAAGGTGTCTTTGAACCAGAAGTTCAGGATGTAGGCAAATCTAAAACTCAGGACTGAAGAGAGATAAGCAGCCAGGGATCCCAGAGGGTCCATCATTGAAGCAGGTGCCACCTGACCCGCGGTCTTCCCACACTGGCCTCAAATATGTCACCTGCCCCCAGACAGAAGCAGTGTTTACCTTGGACCTATGGCTTAGCAAACACTTCTCGCTTGCACAAAACACAGTTTCCTGGTGGCTTGCTAGTGCCTAAGAGGAATGTTTCCCTTTCTCTCTGCTCAGCTCCCTCCTGCCCACCCCCCCCCCCCAAAATCTAGCAGAGCAGGTGACGCAGAGGCCCGTCTGGCACAAGCAGAGTCCAAAAGCTGCCAGGTTTCCAAGTGGAAGGAAGAACCGACGGCAAAAACTAGCCTTCCAGTTATTACGTTTCCTGTGCGCTGTTGAGAGTGCAAGAGCCACTTCCTCCAGCTACCAGAAATTTGAAGACTTTCCATTAAAAATGAGGAAGAGGGGCGCCTGGGTGGCGCAGTCGGTTAAGCGTCTGACTTCAGCTCAGGTCACGATCTCGCGGTCCGTGAGTTCGAGCCCCGCGTCGGGCTCTGGGCTGATGGCTCGGAGCCTGGAGCCTGTTTCCGATTCTGTGTC